CAATCACCCATAAACAGGGCACGCGCAGGGAAGGAGGCGCCACCAGCTGGCGTCGGAGAGAATCACGCTGCAAGCGCGGAAACACGCCGTGGAGAAGTGTCATAGGATCAGAGGCGCTGGGGAGGTGGATGTCGTGGGTAATCACGTTGCCCGCGGGGCCCTCGATAATGAATTCAGCTATATTCCCCACCGCCAGGGGAACGTGGTACATCTCAGAGAATGGGACAGCGAGCCGCGCAGAGATCGAGGCGACGACTGCAAAAGGGGAGTGGAATGGAATGGAATGGAATGGACTGCCCAAAAGGGGGGTGCACAGCACTACGGTCTGAACAGGTCAGATATACTAGCCAGACTGTCTGGCTTCTTTGATACGTATACGGTCCATCAGGGCCGCCATTCGTTGCTCATATGTGGGTACTTCCCTGGAGGCCGAAAAACCGACTGGAACCACTGTAAAATCAGGCACGCACTCCGGGGGGGCCGTCTCGACCGAGGAGGCGAGCGGAGGGAGGCCAAGACTACGTCCCAACAGCACCCGTGCTCGTCGGTTCGGCGGCTTACCCTGGTTGTAGCGTCTCAAAACCTACTGACCTTTCTTAGTGGGCTTTTCATCGGGCCTGATACAAGGTTTTGCCCACTTGACAGCGCGGCCCTGGGACCAGGCACCACATCTTAAACAAATCCAGCATCGCTTCTCAGGGGCCTTCACACAAACAGACACCGAAGGGGCCAGCCTGTCTAGCTGCAGTCCAGCCGTGACAACGATGTGGCCTATGGGATCCACGAGAAGCCTTCTGATGCCGACAGGGGCGCCTACGCATCCATTAAGCTCTAAACTCGACTGATCGCCCCCACCCAACTTAAGGCACCTCCTGCACTGGTAGCCGAGGTTGGGATGACAGTGCCAGTCGTGGTACCGCTGCCTGATGGCAGAGATGTCCCTGCGGCGCGGGGCAGCTCGGGTCCACCTGGGCGACACTTCGAACAACGGCAGCACACAGGCGGCCAGTTTGACAAAGAGATTCGCTCTCTCCTCGGCCAAAGCCAGGGACTGCAGAAAGAGGGGATCAGCCGATGGATGAAACGCCAATGCCGTCTTCGCATGATGACCGACAGCTGCATTCGCACCGGCATATTCACGCTCAGCCATCTCAAGAGATTCGATCTCCTGAGTCGAATGGAGGGCCTTAACATGTCGGGTTTCTTCAAAGAAACTCGTGCCTTCCAAAGACTGAGCAAAAAGCCTGACGCCAGCGAACTTACACGAGGCCTGCAAATGCTTTTCAACACTGCTCTGTGCAACACGGGTTGCCGACGTGCAGTCAGCCGCGAGAATGGTTTTTCTGTTCGCAACCTGGCCGCGCAACGCAAAGCCCACATGCTCCGCCATCACTGGCGTCTGTGGAAACGCGCCGTGGACCACTCCACGCACGATCGCAACGGGCTCGGGCTGAGCCCCACTTGCAAGACAAAACCCGATGGCCCACGCCGCTCTTTCTAGCGCACGGATCGAGGGCTTAAACATGAGCCGTCCGAGGCAAGCCTTAAAGTCTCCTCCCCAGACAACCCCGAAATCTTTGCAGGCTCCAGCGACAGCGGGCTGCCAAAAACATCAAACAACTCAACCTCAGACGACGCCGGTGGTGTCGCAGCTCGCTGTCAGGGTACACAAGAGTGCCCCTGGTGAAAGTCTCCAGCTCTGGCTCTGCACGAGCCGCTTCCAAAAACTCCCTTGGGACTTCAGCCTCTTCTCCGGCACGGGCCACGTCCTTTCGGGAACAGTGATAAAGCCTGTGGTGGAGCGTGTCGACCTGGCCACGCGAACAGCGACCGTCCGTCGCATAGCCAGCCCGTCGACCTCTTTCATTGGCCCACACTCCGTTACACCCACAGCCCCACTCAAAAACTCGGCTTGCTTGCTCAACCCCCGAGCCTTTGGCCCCAAACGAGGTCTCATCAGATCTAAGGTGGCCCTGTGCCCTGGGGGGTATCCTAAACTACTGGCTAGCTGCATTTCGTGAGCTCGCTGGGTTTCTAGCTGGTCGGCTAGAAACCCAGCGAGCTTGCATTTGGTTCCCGCTTCTAGCTGGTCGGCTAGGAGGGCAGGCGGGGTCTGGTCCACGAGGACCTGGGGCCCATTGTGGTCATACCACTCTAAAGGGCCCCTGGTCTCCCAGCCCGCCCTTGAGAGCACTAGCACCGTGAACCAAGGGCCCTCTCGAGGCACTCCGCGTACCAGCCCCCAGAGGCCTCGCCGCATCCCAAAGACGCAACAACTCCCCATCGACTGGCTAGTGCTCTCATGGGCTGTGTGGTGGCAACCCAGATCATCCTACACAATTGCAGTGCAGGGGCGACCGCCATCTTAAAGCTTTGATCCCCTATCAAAACAAGCTTCGCCGGCAGGGAAGCCCCTCCGTGGGCAGGCGAGAAAGTGCATCTGTGCAATCTTCGATGGGCCTTCCATTCACTGGGGCTCAAACCAATGACCTCAGCTCCAAAACAGCTGGCTGGCGACGACCCAGCACCGAAAACTTTGGCGAACGGGGCTTCCTTCTCAACACCTCGGAAAGCTAGTCTAAAACGCTTCACTTTTCCTGACCCTCAGACGCGCAGCTGCAAATCTACTCTTTTTGTTTCGGCCTGACACCACGAGCGAATCTCTGTAGACCTGCATTCTCGTCCACCCCCAGGTACGTGACGCTGTCCTTTACCACATCCATGCTGACGCCTAAATCCTGGCAGGTGGCCCTGCCCAGCTCCTTGGATGAGGCGATCAGCGCGACCTTGTCCACGTTCAGGGTGGCGTTGGTGGAGGTGGGCATCGCTCGAAACCCTGTACGCGAGTGCACCGCCACGCCCTTCGCAATCTCAAACGAAGATGAGGCATTCCCGATCGCAGTGTCATCCATGTAACTTACCATTGCTACCGTGGGGCATCGGCTTATGAGATCGTCCACTTCACCTACTGAATGAATCTTAATGGCAGAGTCTGCAAAATCATCACCAGCTGGTAGACCATGCCCAGCATACAGCGGAAAGAGTGAGTGATGTCGCCCACATCGGGTTACTTGCGGCGTTCTCCACGTGTTGAAAGCAAGTTTGAGCCAACATGTCGGAATCCCCACTCGTAGACACCTCTCGCGTAGCATCGGTAGCGGTGTAGACTCAAAGTACTTAGACCAGTCGATAACCCACAATGCTGAATGAAGATGCTCCGCCTGGTTGGCTTCTGCTCGCGCCGCTTGAAGCCATGCGCAGTGCATCGCCGACAAGCCTCGGGAAGCGCCCCAGTACTTCCGATCAAGACTGTCAATCACACCAGAGACCATGGTACGCCTTCCCCGCTGCGAGATTCAGTACATCCCTGAATACAATATGATCAAACGATTGCATCCAATGGTCTTGCCTAACATCGGCATTTGAATCCAGCAGAGTTGCTTGGGCAGCATTCGAATGGCCTCCGAGATCGCCCAGAGTTTGCTGAGGACCTCCAAGCCAGAATCTCCCAAAAGCAAAGCATGGCGCGGGTGGAAATGATCGAACGACGACGCTGTGCCCTTGGGGAAGGACACGGCAATCTGCCGGATCAGATCAGGCGCGAACCTCGGGCATGCCGCACGGTCTGGAATCCAAGCAAAAGGTGCCGCATCTGTCGCCTTCCAGAGCCGACGATCTATGCATCAACTTCCCCTTGAACAATGTCTCGTGGATCTCCTGTAATTACATTACCTTGAGCCACAGCAGGGACTGGGACCTTGCGCACCTTCGTAACTCGACGCAGTGTTCTCGCTCCCTTTGCAGACGCTTCCAAACACGAGAATTCCCATGACTCTTTGGCATCACGCATCATCGCCTTGCCTGCGAACTCAACATCCTCTGCAAATTCTTCCACAAGCTGTAAGATATCGCTGACCTCCCTCGGAATGCGGGCCACAATCACTCGAGCCTGCAGCGCCGAGGCATCCAAACGTCCGCTGGGCCCTTGCCCACTGTATTGACTGACAATAAAGTTAGTCGTTCCCCAGGGGAAGCGCGCTTTTTGGGAGGCAGGCCAGAGGGGATCACGCCCAATGGCCCATGGGCCCACGCCCCCCAAGAAACGCCCCCGGTCCAAGTGGCTCGCCCGAAGGCTCAGACCCTGGTCCAACGGGGGCCCACGGGCCCCCCGGTCCGCGAGGGTGTCTCACGAGTCCGACGGGGGGTTTCGCGGGGGGGGCCCTTCCTAATGCAGCACCAGGGAGGTTTGTGGGAGGGCCAAAGCGGCTGCAGAGCGGAAGGGGGGGGCCTCTTGGAGGCCCTCCGCGGCCTGCCCCAGAGCACTCACCCCCTCACGACTAAAGTAAGCTTCTACATAATAGTCGTTCCCTGGGGGAAGCGCGCTTTTTTGGGGGCAGGCCAGAGGGAATCACACCCGAGGGCCCATGGGCCCACACCCCCCAAGAAACGCCCCCGGTCCAAGTGGCTCGCCCGAAGGCTCAGACCCTGGTCCAACGGGGGCCCACGGGCCCCCCGGTCCGCGAGGGTGCCTCACGAGTCCGACGGGGGGGTTCGAGGGGGGGGGCCTTCCACGTCTCCCCCTTCTGGTGTGCCGAACTCTTAAAATTAAAACTATTCCGAGAGCCCCCTTTCCAACTAAGAACCTCGACTGCGGACGGGGGGGCGGCGTAGGCGGCCGAAGACAAGCAACCCCGACCCCCCCGGGGGCGATCGGCCACCCTCCAAAGGGGACCGGCCGCCACCGATGGCAGGAGAGGCTTCTTAGAGGTTAGGAGGGGAGGAGCAGGTGAGAACGGGCGCGCGCGAAGGCTGCCCTTGCACAAGGTAGCGGGGCGGTCTGGCTGCCCTCCAAGTCGGCTTGGCGAGGCCTCGGCGCAGCGCGGGGCCACGTCGAGGGGCGCCCTCCCCAAGCCGACCCGTGGAGGGCAGTCGGGCCCCCCCTTTACCCTGCGCGGGGGTCAGCTCTCGGCGCGCACCAAGAGGAGAGGCGTCCCTGTTTTTCACAGGGACGCGAGCAGCCGCGCGAGAGCGGCAGCTCGCGCTGCAAAGTCTCCGGCGGCGGCGTCTGGCACTCGCTGTTGCGCCAGCGCCGCCAGCCCGTCGTTGATGTAGATCTGCGCCGTGCGCCGGTCGGACCAGCGGCCGCGGTGAACGGTGCGCCCGAGGTCGCCGCGGGTGCACATGTCGTGCGTCGCACCGCCACGGCGCAGGCTGTAGGGCTTGAGGCCAACCTCCTCGAGCCCAGCCTGGACGCACGCCCGCTCGAACAGCAGGCGGAACTGCGCGCCTGCGCCCAACGGCAGTGGCCCCACGCCCTGCCGCTGGCGGAGCCACGCCAGCGCGCGGCCCACGACTGGGTCGTCGACGGTGACCAGCTCCTGCGCGCCTCTCCTGGCCCTGCTCTTGGTCCACGGCAGAGCGGCGAGGCCTGTGTGGCTCGCACTGATCAGCACGTGCTCGGCGCGGATGGACATGAGCTCGCCCGTCCGCAGCAAGCAATGGAAGGCGACCAGGATGAGCACCGCTGCATCTTGCCGCCCGAGCTGCCACAGCACGTGGGCGATGCCGGCGGTGCTCTCCGCAGCATCTCGATCCTTCCCCATGTCCGCCAAAGATCCCAGGACAAAGGGAACACACGCCATCGCCCCAAGTAAAACTGAATACCACTCAACGTATCTCCTGCCAGATTGCGACCCTCGCCGTCAATCCAGAGATGTTCAATGAACGTGCAGATCTGCTGGTCCACGTCGGCGGCGTCGACGGCCTGTGGCCAGCCCTGGCCCAGCTGATACTAGACAAACATGGATGCAGCACGAAAATACCGAATTCGTGTCGGGGGAGCCACACGTTGAAGTCGCAAAGGCCCCAGCGTCCTCCTGGCTGCGGCTCTGCTCGCACGATCTGCCGCTGCGCGCAGGCGTCTAACCATGACGCGTGCGCTTCCTGCTGGGCGCGTCCGCGGGTTTGTCACCGCTGCGGCAGAAGCCCAATATGGTCATGACCCCTGAGGCCAGCTCAAGTGCGCTAACCTTGCGAGCAGCGCGATTCAACTGGCGAGACCCCGATCTGTGCTTGGCGAGGACAGCAATAGACACCTGGCTGTCCAACAGGTGGAGGAACTTCGGCTGCAAGTTCTTCTCTGCTCGCAGACGCCAGCGGAGAGCCGACAGGTAGGCCCATGTCCAGCTCGTTGATGTGCGCCGTCTGCTGCCAGCTGAACTGCAGGGCCACGGACCAGCGCCGCAAGTTGGCGGGGATCGGGAGTCGGGGCCACCCCGAGGATGAGACGAGCTCTCCAGTCGAGATCCTCACGTCGGAGCCCTTCGTGGACGTCGACCTCATCACGTCCAGCACAAGGGCCTGCTCCGGCGCAAAGCCGCGCGAGCTGCAAAATGCGCTAACGGCCACCGGGCGGGCCGACTCCCTGAGGAGGTCGACCGAGGGAACGCTCGCCAAGAACTGCCACTTGACGGCGAGGTGCCCCAGCAGCCACGCCACGACCTCCACGTGAAAGGCATTCCAGAGGAGGCTGCAGCGGACCGACTCAGCGTGCTGCAAGTCATCCTTCAGCACGCCTGATGGAACTGCGACCCGAGCGTGGCCGCGCGGGGAGCCCATGAGCACCTCCCGCTCCTCAGCACATGGGGCCGCCACTCCCCTCTCTCGTACATGCAGTGCTTCTCGATGTACTGGCACGGCGGGAGGGCAAACCCGTCGTCCGCCCAGCGCTGCAGCGCGGCTGGGTCGCACTGAGCGAAGCCCGCGGGCCGCGGGCGAGGGGGCGAGCGCCGCTCCCTCCTCGCGGCGGTGGGGAGCCTTGCTGCGGGGTCGTCTCCAGCGGGCCAGGAGGCACCTCGCCGCAGCCAGCGCGAGCAATGCCCTGGGTCCGCGTCAAGCTTCACCTGGCGCCAGAGGTCTCTCTCCTCGATGCTGTGCTCGGCGTCCCCCACGAGGCAGAAAGAGCACCAGTAAGCTGCGGGCGACGCATGTGGCAGACCTGAGAGGCGCAGACCCTGTACGGCTTGCGGCCCAGCAGCTTCGTGACCGTGCCGATGTCGGCCTGGTCGGCGGAGTCCACGTTCTCGAAGAGGAACTCCACCTCCCACTCGCTGAACTCCACCTCGACGATGTCCAGGATGCGCACGATCTCGCCGACCGACCCACTGCGAGGATCCGAGGGGCCCTTCCTGTCCACGTTGAGGCGCGACAAACTTTGGCACGGGAAGCCCCCCATGAGCAGGAGCTTGCGGCCCCAACGGCACCCGTTGCGGATGGTGACGAAGACCTCCCTGGTGACGAGCCTGACGTCCCAGAGCTCCTTGAGATCTGGGAACGCGTTCCTTGCCACGCGTGTCGCCACCTGGTCGATCTCGGACGAAATGTACCAGTAGCAGTCGAGCCCCAGGGCAGCCGAAGCGCAGCGCCCACCAGCTCGTCTTCACTGCGCTGCCAGGGCAGCCGGCCGCTGCGGGCCAGGGCCGCTTCCCCTGCAGGCGCGAGGCCACGACTCACCACCGCGCCGCCTCCGAACGGGCTGGCGTCGGAGCAAGTGACCTCAGGCGAGATGCTCAGCCGGAAGTCGGTGAAGTAGAGCGGTGCGAGCGACATCGCGAGCAGGAGCTCGTCGACCACTGGCAGCGGGAGGACCCGCCCGCGGGAGGAGCCCGATATCCATCTCCACACGTGCTCGAAGGCGGCCATCCCGCCACGGCGGTGGGCGAACGCGCGCACCCAGCGCCCCAGCACGATCTGCCAGTGCTTCCTGCAGGTGCCGCGCTGGGCCAGGACCCACAGGGTGAGCGAGATGAGCTGGCTCGTGTAGCCCTTGGGCGGCTCCTTGCGGCCCAGGTCGCCGTCGATCCTGTCCCCCAGGGCCTGCGTCTCAGACTGGCGGAGCACGTCCTTGGCGGCCACGCCGGGAGCGCCGTGGGCCTCGTAGGCCGCCCTCGCAAGCTCGAGCAGAGGGCTGACACTCCCGCGGAGAGCCTCGGCGTCCACGCGGTCGATCAGCTCCTAGATCTCCAGGTTGTCGACGTAGACCTCCCGCGCCGTGGTGTCCGAGCTGCGGGGCGTGAGCGGGCTTCCGCGGTCTCTGCGCCACTCTGCCTCAGGCTCAAGTCCCGCAGCGCGTGGGCGCCCTACCTTGAGCACGTTGCGATGCATATGCTGCGAAACTCCCGTGGCTGAGATCCAGCCCATCGCCACTGTGGTGCTGGCCACGCGCACCGAAACCTTGTCCGGCTTGCCCACCAGGCGGCCAGGCACGGGAGTCCTGAAGGCCATGGGCTTCCTCCAGCACGGCGGCAGCCTGAACACGTAGAAGAAGCACTGCCTGTCCGAGGAGGTCAACAGCATGATCTCGTGAGACAGCAGCGTGATGGTCGACCACTGGCTCGAGAGGGGCAGCTGGTCCATGTCCCCGCCGACCACGCGCTGCATCACGTTGGACGGCACGAGGTTCATGATGAGGCGCAGGACGTGGCCGCGGGAGCCGTCGCGCAGCTTGACGGTCCGCTCGGTCCCCTTCCGCGCGCCAGAGGCCCCGCACAGGACCGGCTTGCCACCCACGTGCAGCGCGTCTTTGAGATCGATGGGCCCCACGAGCCCGCGAGCCCACAGGACCTCCACCAGCTCTTCCCAGACGTCGTTGGGGGCCCAGATCTTCGCCTGCGGCGGCACCACCGGCCTGACGCCCTCAGGGAGGACCATCGAGTCGGCATCGAGGAGCGCTCGGCGGACCACTGGATCGCAGAGCGGGACCGCCTCCACGGAGGCCGCGATCCCGACAGGCGGCAATGCTGGCAGCACCTGCTCGACCGTGGGCGTCTCCGCCGTGCCGACCTCCTCCCCGTCGTAGGCCACCCGCTTCTTAGCCAACTCTCTGGCCCAGTCGGTGGGCCCGACGGGCTCGGGGCTCCGCGTGACGAACAGCAGAGCTGCCCGAGCCAGCATGCGCAGGCTCCTGAGCTGCGCTGGGCTGGGAGGCCCGTGCTGCGCACACCTCTCGGGGTCGGCCGAGCAGTTGGCGCGCGGGTGGTTGAGGCCGATGATGAGCACATGCGTCCACTGCTTCGCTACCTTCGCCTGCTGGGACGTGGTCGCCCCCAACCCGCGAAGCTCTGCGTCTGGAAGTGCAACGAAGGGCAGGGGGGCGAGGTCACGTTGTCTCCCCTCTGCCCTGGAAGTTGGCCTGCCCCCATCTTGTGTCAGACGCCTGGCAGCCTCGCCAAGTCTCGTGGGCAGCGGCCGTGCCAGCTTCAGCAGCACCTGCGGAACGTCATGCGGCGTGGCCTCCTCGATCTCCTTCGCGGCGACCTGCAGGCATGGCGGGCGCGAGCCGAAGGCGGATCCTCCTCCAGCAGGCCGCCCGAGAGCGGACGGCAGCACCTCGGCACCGACGGCGGGATCGGCGGCCGCGGGGCTCTTCTGCGGGCGATGCCTGCAAGCCAGGGCGGCCTGGTCTCCTCCAGCAGTCGCGCCGAGGGCCTTCGGCAGAGCCGCGGAGCCCGCGGCAGCAGCAGCAGAAAGGGGGCGCCGCCAGGGCGGAGGTGAGGCCAGGCCTCCTTGCCCTTGCCCTTGGCCCCCTTGCTGCGCTTGCCCTCGGCGCCCTTGCCCTTCGAGCCCTTCGATCCACCGCCGCGCTCCTTCGGCCGAGGGGCGCGGAGCCTCTCGATCCACGGAGGCACATCGGGATTGCCAGGGCGCTGGTCGCCGTCTGGTCGCAGCAGGACCTTCCTGACAGGGTTGCCGCTCACCCCGTCCGCTGCCGAGCGTCGGTCCACCGCCGCCGCCTCGGCCTCGGGGGCGAACCGCGCTCTGCCGTCGGGAGCTCCCCCGCCTGGACGGGCTGCGCTGGCGGGCCCCGCCGATCGCCCTGGTGACGGCGGGCGCGGCTGGGGCTTCGCCTTTGCCCTGCGGCGGCCACGGTGACTCCGCCTCCAGAACGGAGCGCCCCCCGTCTGCGGCGGAGCGGAGCTGGCCCCGCCCGCGGCGGCTCCGCGAGCGGGGGGCGGACGCCTCAGGGGAGGAGCGGCCCCTCGCTCCTCGCCCCCGCGGAGTCCCTAGCCAGGGCTCGCGGCCAGGCGCCCCTTGCTCCGCACCTCCGCGAGCCGCGCCTGCATCGGCGCGTGCTGGGCGGCCGCCTGCCGCTCCGACAAGCTCACGATCCCCGGCTGGTCGTCCATGAGCTCCAGCTGGCTGACCACGGCCCAGTCCTTGTCGCGGACGCTCAGCTCGAGGGCCTTCAGCCGCTGGATGAGCAGGTCGCCCACCTCTGGCAGCTTCCCCTCGAGCAGGCCGTCGATCGCGTGGGCGATCGTCCTCATCTCGCGCACTTAGTGCTGTGACATGCCGCTCTGCGGGTGCTGCCGGAAGAAGATGCTGTTCAGGTAGGCCACCACTCGTGCTGAGCTGCCTCCTGTACTCGCCCCCTCCCGCTCGCCCAGGAATCGAGCCATCTCGGAGAGGCCCGACTCCAGCAGCGCGCCCGGGCGTTGGCGCGCCGCCTGCTGGACCCGGTTCGTCACGGAGCCGGAGGGGGCATCGTGAAAAAGCGACTCGGCATCTCCTCCGTCGCCAGTGATGCTGGGCTCGGCAGCACCTCTCGCCCGCTTCGCCGCAGCGCTGAAGAGGTCGGCGCGCCCCTCGCGGCGCCGCTTCAGCGCCTGCTTGAGCTGCGCCACCTTCGCCTCGAGCGACGCCTTGGACCTCACCTCGCCGAGCGGGTCCGCGCCAGCATCCCCAGCCGGCGCAGCGCGCAGCAGGGCAGCAGGGCGGGCCCACGCCTCGCTGAGCTGCAGGGGGCTCCTCACGCGCAGCACGTCGACGTGGTACACGGAGTGCGCGCCGGCCACCGCTTGGCATCCCTCTCGTGGGCACGAGCAGAGGTGAACCAGCGGGGCCCCGCCGTCGGCACTCCACGCCTGCTCGAACTGCAGCGTGCTGACGGGAGTGGACGCCCCGCCGAACACCGCCGTGGCGAACGTGCCGAGGGCGTCCGCAGCCCAGATTGCCCCCAGCTTCAGCACCGCCAGCGCGTCGTCGTGCGTCGGCACCTCGATGATGCTGCCCGTCGTCAGCGCCGCCTGCGCCAGCACGTGCGGCTGCAGACCCTTGCCGAGCAACGGCCCGTCGGCGGCCACGACGCCTGCAGCTGCTCCGCCTGCGGCCTGGGGCCCTGGCACCGGGGCAGCACCGGGACTCCCAGCCCTGCGGGGCCTGGCATGCCCCCAGCGCCTGGGGCAGCGAGGGCTCCAGCGAGCTGAGCCCCAAGCCCGAGCTGGGCGGGGGCCCCAGCGGCGGGCGCGGCCCCGGCCTGCATGGCATGCAGGGCGGCGGCGATCCGCTGCTGGTCGAAGCCGACGCCGAGCCCCCTGGCCATCTGCGCGAGCCCCGCCGCCAGCTCCTGGGGGTTGCCTCCGCCCGCCTGGGCAGCTGCCACCGCGGCGGGGTTGAGGCCAGCGCCGCCTGCTCGCCTCCGCGCGGCCGCCGCGGGCGCTGCTGGCGGCGCCGCGCCTCCGCCGCAAGGCAGGCCGCCGGCCGCGGCGGCCGCGCCCGCACCGGCCGCTGCCGCGGTCAGAGGGACGAAGCCAAGCCCCCCGGCTGCGAAGAGGGCGGCTCCCCCAGGAGCAGCGGCGGCCGCGCGCAGGCGCGGGGCCCGCTTCGGCGCGGCGGCGGCAGCGGCAGCACCTCGCCCGCGAGCGCCAGCACCAGCCGCAGCCCCACGCCCAGGGCCGCCGCGCCCGCGCCCGCGCCCGCGTGCCCCCCGCCCACCGGCCGCCCCCGCTCGCCCCTCGGGCGGCATCCTTCACGCCGGGGGCGGCGGGGGGGGGGGGCGTCCGCCAGGCCCGCCAGCGCCGCGACGATTCGGCCAGCGGCAGCGCGGCGCGGCGCTCCCCGGGCGTGAAGACCGCGCGGTGCGCGTTCTGCAGCGCGCGCCCCAGCATCCAGCACAGCTCGCACCCCGGCACCACGAGCGCGTGCGAGCCGAGCGGGTGCGCCAGGGCCTCGCCCAGCCGCCCGACGCACCAGGCGCGCGCGCGCGCAGCGGCGGCCCGCTTTCGCGCAGCTGCACCGGCGGCAGCCACAGGTACGCCAGCGGCGCGCGCGGGGCCCACCTCTCGGGCCCCAGCGAGGGGCGCGGGCGCCGCGCCAGGGTCCAGCCCACAGCGCTGCCCGTCAGCTGCGCCGGCTCCTCGGCGCCTCCAGGCTCCGCAGCCTGCGGAGCCGCAGCGCCCGCCGCGGGCCACTCGGCCGGCGGCGGGCTCAGCTCGCCCCCGAATTCGGGAGTCGAGCGGGCCGGGGCGGCCGCAGCCCGCGCCGCCTCCGCGGGCGATGCCGCCCAAGGCGGCCGCGGGGCCCGGCTCTCCCAGCCGCCCACGGGCCCCCGCGCAGGCGGCGCCGGCGGCCAAGGCCCGCTATGCCCCGCAGGAAGGGAGGCCGCGGGCCCAGGCCGTCGCATGCCCTCCAAGAGGGTCTGATAAGCCAAATCGGCTGCAGAGCGGAAGGGGGGGGCCTCTTGGAGGCCCTCCGCGGCCTGCCCCAGAGCACTCACCCCCTCACGACTAAAGTAAGCTTCTACATAATATCCATTCCTCAGAACATAGCTCAAGGCGTTGGGTTCCGCGGTAGAGATGAGATGTAGTCGAGAGACACGTGGGCAACCACTGCCATCCATCGGCTACTGCTTGAGCCATGTTGTCGGGCTTCTCCTGGTAACTGGCGTCGACTCATCTTGGCTGCAAGTTGCGATCAAAACCACCTACCTGCAATAAATCTATCCTGTAGCATGCGCCACCTCCGTCGCAGCTGTGACTGCAGAACGGCCCCACAGACGGGATAGAAGCGCCCATGCCACTGCTACATCACTTCGCTCGTCGAACGCCATGTCCAGACATGCACTCGCCAGCACTTGGTGTGCACTCCACGTCGGTCCCTCTCTCAGCGGCCCGACAATTCTCTCGACTGGTAGAGCTGGGTTTACCGTGTATATGAAGTGCCTGATCTTCTGGCCGTTGTCGCTTAGCTTGAGCAGCGCAGGCCTGCGCGGGCGTCGATCCCATCGCATATCAGCCTCAACCCCTTGGAAACCTCGCAAAACAGCATCATTCAACGCGTAATAATCAATCGCAGACGTTCCAGTACCACCTCGACACGTGACCTGCTTGGGCACTGCCATAGTGATATTGGCCAAGCGTGGGGAACCTGAATCTTCAAGTTCGTTCACAGACATGTTCCAGTCAGCCCCAGAAGTGACAGGAGCCTGTATCTGAGCAAATAACAGACCCATCCGTGAAAGTATATCACTGTTGACCCCTGACGCACCGATGGAGTCTTTGAGATAAGCATTGATGACGTACAGCGGCGGCCAGCCAGGCAAGTCTATTAGAACATGCTGGCGCTGGCATCGATGAGGGAAAAACAACGTGATCAGGTGTCTCGGGGGCCCTAAGCCCGAGATCGTTGCGAACCAAAACGGCAAACTGGCTCGACTGGGACGGCTGGGGATTGCCATCACTTTCCAACCACGACACTGTGTCCACGAGAAGAGTGCTTCTAGATCACCGTCAGAAAACCTTATTTCTTGCAGCAGTAGAACATGCGCAGAGGATTTCTGGATCTTCTCCTTCTCAAACACATTGTGACCAAGGTCCTGGGCAGGGGCGGGGGCACCTTCGTCTTTCCCTGGGCAATGGGCAAACCGGACACCCGAATGGGCGCATACCCTTGCTCCACGAGATCATTCGTCCATCGTTCGTCATGGCCATCAGGAACACCGCTGTCTTGGCGAGCTCTCTGATGGCCCCTTGAAGCTGGGAGAAACCATTGCTCTTTCCAAAGTCGAACAGATCTTTGAGCTCTTCCTCGGGCAGCTCGTCGCAAGCTCTCTTGGTCGCAGGGGCAGATGCGCGAGCACCATGAGAGGCATCAGGCCCTTCAGGAGCAGCAGCAGGACGGGCATGACCACCTGTCGGTTGAGGAACTGTGCCTAACTTGACCTTCTGAACGATGACCTCCTTGAGCGATGTCTACATGTCGGAGTCCAGAAACTTCTTGAGCTCCTCGGTCTGGACATCCTCAGTGGAGATGGAGATGTCGAAGTCGGTCTCCATGGGGGTGTCCTCACACTTGTCGGCGGCGATGGCAGCTGCCGACAGCTTGTGCTCCGTCTCGAGCGCAGTGACCTCTGCCTGCTTTACTGCCAGCTGGGTCCTGCGCGCCTCGACCGACTCCTAAAGCTATTTGAGTTGCTTCTCCTTCTCATCGGGCTCCTTCGGAAGGCGGTCACGTTGAATCTTGGCCTTGCGCAGATCCTGTGCAACTCGTCGGTGCGCAATCTCAGGCGTGCGCAGGGACTTCTGCTTTTCCTTGATCTCACGCACTGTTTGGATAGTCGCCCTCCTGACTGTATCCTCTTCGTCGTTGCCAGGGAGGTTCTTGAGCATCGTCTCATAAGTAGCCAGCTGCGCCGCCAGCCCCTCGCGCTTGGTCTTGTCCTCACCATCATCTGATATCGCTTTCGTGTTGGCCGCCGTCGTAGAATGGTTCCACGGTGGCGGCCTGGCTGGAGGCGGGCTTCCCGATGGCGGCGGGCTGCCCAAACCAATCGCAGACGTGAGGGCACGAAGCATCTTCTCCAGCTCTGCCATCTTCTTGCAAGCCGGATCATTCTTATCACTCGATACATTATTGCCCTTTTGCGGAGGGGGGTTCTCGCCATTGACGATCGCATTGTGATTTTCCCAGGCGATCTTCCTGATCCGCATCGGGGCTTCGTTTCCACGCTGAAAGCGAATCCTCGATGCCCAGTTCGCTGGGGCAGCGCACCTTCCGCACCCCCACGTCGGCCGCCTCGGCCCGCGGAGCGCCGCGGGAGAGGGCGGGGGAGGCGCCGCGGCGGCGGCGCCTCGGTCGCTCGTTCGTCCTCTGCCTCCAGGAGGAGGCGAACTGATCGTGGTTAAGCCAAAAGGCTCGCCGCAGCGTCGCCGTTCTGAATCCAGCTGCAGCAAGCGCAAACCTGCGCCAGAACGGCTACTGCAAAATGGGAGAGATGCCGAAGGCGCGGGAGCCAAGCCCCCTCTCAAGCTCAAAAATACCCCCATCATGCCCATGCGTTCTCCGCGCTGCAACTATGTCTGGTTCGCGGCGCAAAGTGAATGTACCCCTTGCATCGAGCAGCCGCCCCCCAGGAAGGGGAATGAACCGATGTGACTAGAGCCGCCGCGCGCCGCGCGCAGGCCGATCGGGGCGGCGAGGGAAATAAGAAGGAGGAAGGGTGGATGGATGGGGGGGGCGGGGGGGGGGGGCGCCTGGAATGGCGCGCCCAGCGCAGTCCGCCTCAGCGCCGCCCAACTGCCCCCAACAGCCGAGACGCTGTCAAGAGAATTCGACGCGGTCAGTGGGCTTCCGAATGGCAGGGTCGCCTTCTTTGTCAAGTCCAAGGCACGCGCGCTTACCTTGGTTTGTACATGGGCGGGCGCAAACTTGGCCTTGCAAGACAAACCTACCAAACGAAGGTCGGCCACGCGGAAGGGGCATGCGCATCCAAGTCTAACAGGTCTGCATACAGTATGCGGATGCCTTTCCGAGACATCTGCGCTTCCATTCGAACGAGGCCAATGCGATAGAATCGGAGGCGATGATGGAGGAGCCGGAGTGGGCAGGATTTCGGCAATATGGCGCTCGCTGGTCTTCTGGGCTGCACTCAGATCCTCCATCTGCTAGTCGAACCCGGCTCATTTCGAGGCAATCAAAGGGTGACCCGTGTCCTTGTCCATCTCGCTGTGGGAGGCCTGGCCGATCTGGGATGCGAGCTCCTTCCACATTTCATCCATCTTGATGCCCTGCTGGTGCAGCGCGGTCGTGAGGTGGTCCTGCAGAAGACCGTGCTCCAGCTGAATGTCCCGATTCATTAGGACCATCTTGTCCGCAAGCTCGCCATATCGAGCAATACTCAGATTCACCGACGAGCGAAGGTCATTGACGTCCTGGTTGTTCTGGATTGCCATATGGTTGATGCTGGCAGGGCTGGAGGTGATGGTCTTGAACTGCCTGTTGACGTCGCCGCAGAACTCACTGTCCGAGCGCCCGGGCGTGCTGCGGCTAGTTGAGCGGTCCGTCTGTCGTCCCCTCCGACCGATGAAAGAGCTTGATGAGCTGCGGCCGTTGGCGGTGGAACGCTGATGCCTGCGCGTGTTGCACCCCATGGCGAGATGAACTGGAAAACGGACAAATAACAATCCCGCTGCATGAGTGCGCTCCGCCGGGAGTTCACACAAAGGAAAGAACCAGGCGCTGAGGAGCCTTTGACCTGGGATACCTCTTAGCGCGGGGGCGGATGCTGACCTGCCCAGCTGGCTCGGGAGATGGTTTACTTGAGCCAAACATGGCTTGAACCAAAATGGCTACGGCCCTTGGCTGATTGGTCTTTGTTCCTTGCCTCCTTGTGTTCCTTAGTTCCTTGGTCTTGATTATCTGCTGCATCCAATGCCAAACAATGCCAAGCAGTACGCCTAGCAATGCCACGCAATGCGACCATGCAGTAGAGAGCTTCCCCTAGCTGGGGCCGCGCAAGTTTTTTACTTAGCGGCTGGAGGGATGGGCTCACGACACAGCTGCGCAAACCATGGGCAAATACTAAGGAGCAGGGGGAGGAGGAGAAGAGGGATAAGAAAAACGAAAAGGAGGACGATGAGTGAGACGATTACGGCGACCGGCGACGAGGTACCGCAGCCGGCCAATCAGCATCCAGCAGCAACGAGCAGCAGCAGCGGGAGCAAGACCCCCCCACACGTTGCCCCTCGCGCTGACAAATGCGGGAGGGGGGCATGGGATGTGCTGAAGAAAGAAAAGGGGGCCATGAAATCTGGGAGCCACCGTGGCCCCTGCCCTGGTAGCCACACATCCCTATGGTCCACCCCCCCTCGACACCAGGTGGTTTTCGGGTCATGACTCGGCCGTTGGGGATGTTCCTAGGGACCCCGAGAAAGCTCTCGGCGAGGCGCAGCTGCTGGAGTCCAGCTGCTGGAGACCATCCCGAGGCGAGAAGACCTCAAAGGAGCCGACGAAATCTTCCTCCCCCTCCCCCTGGTCCTCGCCCTCGACAGCCTCTGGCTCCTCTTCCACGTCCTCCTCCTCGCCCTCATCGTCGTCGTCGTCCTCCTCCTCCTCCTCCTCCTCCTCCTCCTCCACCTCCTCCTCCTCCCCCCCGTGGACGACGACAGCGCCCCACTTGGACGCCCCCTGAGCGAGCGGAAGAGCAAAGCAGGCAAGCCGGGAATGAGCAGGGACTGCATGGGCACGCCGGCCACCTCACTCGGGGCCGTGCGCGGCAACCCGCGGGGGAAGGGCGCCGCGATGCGCCAGGCCGCGGCGCGCGGCCCCGGAGGCCAGCGGCCGGCTACGTTGAGTTCCAAGGCAGCGCGCCAGCGTCCTACTGTGGAGGCCCCATCGAAGGGCCAAAAGAGCGCCGAGAACCCTCGAGCCCTCGAGGCCTCGAGCCCTCGAGGTCTCGAACCCCCGGTCCTCGAGCCTCGAGAATCTCTCTCGAGCCTCGAACTCGTCGAGTTCGGTGCAGAATCCTCGAGCCGCAGAAGTCCTCGAGGTCTCGAGCCATCAGTCTTCGAGCCCTCGGAGCCTCCTCGACCACTCGAACTCTTCGAGCTCGGCGCAGGACCCTGGAGGCCTCGACATTCTCCGAGGTCCGAGGCCTCAAAGGCCGGTCCGCAGTGGCAAGCAGGAGGAGAACGCTTCCAGATGATGAGAAGCCCGGGAGCCTCCGAGAGCCAGCGGGTCTGAGAGGCGTGTCGCCGGTGTTGCCGCAGGGCGCCCGTGCATGCTGCTGCCCCTGGCTGTTGCCGGGGGCTGCTTCTCGTTCCTCCTCCTGTTCCTCCTGCTGCCAGAAGCGGCCAAGAGGGGGGTGTCCAAGAGGGGGGGGTGTAAATCATGACCGGCGGCACGTGCGCGGCCCAGCGGGGGGGCCAGGGACGTAATGAAATAAGAGGAGGGGCCATGAAATCTGGGGAAATATCATGGCCCCCGCCATGATATCCACCCCCCCTAGTCATCACCCCCCTCTTTGCCGCCCCCGATGCTGCCTCCGGGAGCCTCCCAGAGGCCGGCGGACAGACCCTGGCCCGATCCAAGCAGGGCCAGCCATCAGGCAGGCCCAGGTTGCCAGGGCAAGCCAGCAAGCAAAAAAAACGCGGCTGAGGCTGCAGTCATCGTGCTACCATGAGCAATGCTGAATGAGGAACGAAGGTTTCGGAAAAACACGAGAGCCCCAATCACGCCTCGACGTCCTTCAGCGTGGGCTTGGCAGTCTTGACGATCGCATGGCACTTCTCCTACGGGGCCGTTGCGACTGATGACCCCCACAGCAAGCTGTATACGCGGACAGGATTATATTGTCTTGCGTGTCGCGGCGGCGGCCCTGGCGTCGCAATACGCCTTGGAAGCGGATCGCGTGTCGCTCAGCTCCGCGGGGCGTGAGGCTGGGAGAAGTGCGGGACGTTGACGCTTGGAAATGAGACCGTGGTTAGTGTGTCGCGCCGAAGCGCCGAAGGCCAGAATCGGCGGAGCGACACGCCAACAACAAGTTCCCGACCGCAAGTGAGACTGCCACCAGCGGGGAGGCATCCACTGCTGCTCACATTCGGGGGCATCGCGTTGCTGTCGAGCCCCTCTGGCAGCTGAGGGGCGTGACGCTACAGACTTGGCTCTCCAATACACACGGTAGACACACATGATAGGCCAGCGATCCCCGCCTGCCGAAATGTTTGGCTGACCCCCCTGTCCCCCTGCTCCCCCTCTCGTCTCGAGAAAATACCGATAGAGGGGTGGGGTGGGGGGGGGGCGGCGGGGGGGAGGCACGAGCTCATTAACGCACATCCCAAGCCCTCAGAGCCTTCAAATCCACCCTCCGACGCCTCCAAGATGCTCACGATGCCCTACAAGACGGCTCAAGTGCTTCAACACGTACACGAGGCCTCACATTCGCCAGCCCAACGGGCCAGAGGCGTGCTGAGATCTCCGGCATCTGCTTTACAACAATTCACTTCGCGCACGCGGGGCGGCCCCTGGGGGTCCCCGGGCGAAAAGTACCCCGGGCAGGACCCGGGCAGGACCCGGGCGACTCGGGTCAGAAGTGGTTTTCCTCCTGGGCGCCGCCCTCGAGGCCGTCCAGAGAGCCCCGAGAAAGGCCAAGAGGCTGCCAAGAGCCCCTCAAGATGATACAAGAGAGCTCCGAGACGCCACAGATCGCTCCAAGACGCCCAAGATGGCCCCTGGACGGCCCAACAGGCCTCCAAGAGCACTCTCAAGAACGCCCCAAGAGGCAACAATCATTGTTTTCAGGTATTGCAAAGATTTGGGCGTTTCCACCTTTCGGCTTCCCGACGCCCCAAGAGGGCCCTAAGATGGCCCAAGAGGGCCCAATAGGCCTCCAAGACGGCCCAAGAAGGCCCCAAGAACGCCCCAAGAGAGGTCCCAGGGGGGAACACAAAACAACATTTCGAGCCCTCGGCTCTAAGAAGCCCCCAGGAGTCCCCAAAAGGCCCCTAAGAGGCCCCAAGAGGCCCCTAACAGGCCCTCAGGAGGCCCCCAAGAGGCCCCCAAGCGGCCCCAGGAGTCCTCCCAAATGCCCCCCCGAGCACGCAAGCAAGTGCCGACGACCCGACCCGTTTCAGAGTCCCCACGAGGCCACCAATAGGCCTCCCGAAAGAGTCCCCATAGGCAAAACGCTTCCAGACGACCCGCGACGCGTTCAAGACTCCCCCAGCGGCCACCAAGAAGCCTCACATGCCGAACGCAAAGCCTGATACAAAAACAGCCGCCGCCCCGGCAGCTCCGCACCGCGGAAGACCATTCGGTCAGTCGACAACGGCGCGCAATATGGACCGGCGGAATGAGCGAAGCGATTCAATAGCAATTCACGAGGCTCTCAGCGACAGCAAGACACTCCAAAGAGGTCCAAGAGGGAGCATGAACGCCCTAACTATCAAACTCATGCGCTTTTCAAAACATGTGGTAGCTCGCCTTATCGTATGCCTACGCCTGCGAGAAAGACCTGGACGCTTCCAGAAGACCCCCAGGCAGCCCAAGATGCCCCCCCGCGAGTGCAGTACATGGCTCCTGGCTGGCATGCAAGACGCTCCCAAAATGCCTGACGGCCCAAGACAGCTCCGAGACGCCCGCAAGACTCCCCCACGCGGCCCCAAGACCCCGCAGAACGACGATGTTGAGTTCTCCGAATGTCTCCGAAGGTCACACGCGTGTCAAGGCCGTACCCATCTCCAAGAATTTCCGATCGGGAGATTTGCGTGCTAGTTCACCCCTGGGGGCCCGCCCAGATTCCCACGTTGCGGACTCACTAGTTGTTGTCTCCTGCTGTTGATGGAATACCAAGCATAGACGCTCCAGTCTCATCCCTCTTCGCCCCTTGCCTCTATCACTCTGGTGCGGCAATCATCCTTCTCCTGTTCCTCATCTCCCCTCTCCCTTCGCCTCCACACCATCCTACTGCCTCTTGGAGTCCTCAAGGAGGGCCAAAGACACCACATGATACCACAATGTATGCTGCCGTGCCACCCAAGCGGGGGCCCGATGCTGAGGAACTGGTTACAAAAGAAAGCCAACACCCTTCAGTCGTCGTGCTACCATGAAGAACACATAAGAAGGAGCGAAGGGGCTTGTCTGGCCACGGCAGGCCTAAGCCACGACCAAGTTCGACGACATGAATCTAAGGAACGACCCGAAAACCCGGGCCCCTCCTGGCTCAGCGTTCTGACTGTACCTGCTCTCCCCCTCTCGCTTGCCTCCCCCCCGCTCCGCGGTTCGTCGCCCTCCTGCGCTTTACCCTGCTCGGGCAACCCGTGCAGCCTGGATTACAGCCACCCCGTTCGCCTCTCGGGGGTCGGCGGATTGAAGTCAGCCTTTTGAAGAGAGCAATGATAACTATACAGGCGATCGGCCCGTCGATGTCGCAAGCCTTCCCAGAACTCCAGTGAGACACCCGTGTCGTCGATCAAACCTTGTCAATGACGCCCGGATCCTCATGGCCCCCCAGGGAGCATGATACTGCTGCGAGGGGGGGGGGCGCATGCTGGCTGGCCAGTCTCCTGCTTGACGCGCCCGTCATGTACGCAATCATCCCCAATCGACTCCTCTCCCTCTCCTCGTCACTGCTGCGCGCGCGTGCCCGCAAGATGGAGGGCCATGCCCGTAGCTATTGTAGTGGCCTTCGGCCAGTGCCGCCGATCCGGGGCGCTCCGACTGATGTGATCCTCCTTCGCCCTCGTCCCTCCTCTCTTTTCCCTTCATTCCCCCTTTCATTCCGCATTTATCGAAGACGCCTACGGCGAATCACCGCCGCCCCCTGCCCTTTCGGAAGCGCCGATGCGGCCGACTGCTGTGGCCAGAGGTCTGCCAAGTTATTGGGCCATATGTTCCCCGAATCGGTCTTTACAGCCTTCGGGGAACACGTGGGGGAGGACGGGGAGGAGAGGAGAGATAGGAAGGGGGGGAATGGAGGAGGAGGTCTCTTGAGTGCCTTTTTGGCTACTCTGGGTTTATATTGGGCCACATGTGCGGTCTTGGAAGCATCTTGGGGGCCTCTTTGGATGCCTTGCGGCCTTCCTGTTCTGCCTGACGCCGTCTGGGCTGGGTTGGGGGCCTCTCTGTGGCCTCACTTGGGTTTATCGTGGCCGTAGTGGACGCCATCTTGGGCGTTTGGAGGCCTCTTGGGCCGTCTTGAGGCCCTCTTGGGGCCTTCTTGGGGGCCTCTTGGGCCGTCATGGGGCCATCTTGGAGGCCTCTTGGGTGCTGTTGGGGCGATGTTGGGGACCTCATGGGCCGTCTGGGGCCGTCGGAGAGCTGAAAAGAAGAACATGCCAAAATCCTTCAAAAACCTTAGGAAAATCAATGATTTTAACCTATTCGGGCCTTCCTGGAGGGCGTCTTGGAGGGCTCTTGGGCCGTATTGGAGGCCTTTTGCCGGCCTTTTGGGCCGTCTTAGACCATCTTGAGGCCATCTTGGGCCGTCTTGGGTGCATCTTGGAGCCATCTTACCCGTCTTGGAGGCCATCTTGGCCGTCTTGGAGGCATCTTGGAGGCCATCTTGGGCCATCTTGGCCGTCTTGGAGGCCATCTTGGGCGTCTTGGAGGCCTCTTGGGCCGTCTTGAGGCCCTCTTGGGGCCTTCTTGGGGGCCTCTGGGGCCGTCATGGGGCCATCTTGGAGGTCTCTTGGGTGCTGTTGGGGCGATGTTGGGGACCTCTTGGGCCGTCTTGGGCCGTCGGAGAGCTGAAAAGAAGAACATGCCAAAATCCTTCAAAAACCTTAGGAAAATCAATGATTTTAACCTATTCGGGCCTTCCTGGAGGGCGTCTTGGAGGGCTCTTGGGCCGTCTTGGAGGCCTTTTGCGGGCCTTTTGGGCCGTCTTAGACCATCTTGAGGCCATCTTGGGCCGTCTTGGGTGCATCTTGGAGCCATCTTACCCGTCTTGGAGGCCATCTTGGCCGTCTTGGAAGCATCTTGGAGGCCATCTTGGGCCATCTTGGCCGTCTTGGAGGCCATCTTGGGCCAAGTTGGGGCAACAAAGGCATTGACAGATGGATTTTCGGAAACTTGCGGGTCGGCGGGACGGGCCGAAGCCCACTGGGGAGTCCGCCGCCCCCTGCTTGCAGGGGTGCAACGGCGTGCTGGATGAGCTGGTTTTGGTTTTGGTTCTTTTTCTAAAAGAACTCCCCAGTGGGCTTCGGCCCGTCCCGCCGGCCACCCGCAAATTTCCGAAAATCCGTCTGTCAATGCCCAAAAACGGCCGTTTCGCTCGGGACATCCTCAAAAAATCGCGAAGATGGCCCAAGATGGCCTCCAAGTCCGCCCGAGATGGTCCAAGACGGCCTCCAAAACGGCCCAAGAGAGTCCAAGACGGCCCAAGACGGCCCAAGAGGCCCCCCAGAGGCCTCCCAGACGGCCCAAGAGGCCTCCAAGAGGTCCTCCAGGAGAGTCCGAAGAGGCCAAAATCATTGATTTTCCCTTGGTTTTTGAAGGATTTTGGCATTTGCGCCTTTTCGGCTCTCCGACGGCTCAAGACGGCCCAAGAAGCCCCCAAGATCGCCCAAGAGGCCCCCAAGAGAGCCCCATGATGGCCCAAGTGGCCTCCAAGATGGCCCCTAGAGGGCCCCAAGAGGGCCCAAGAGGCCTCCAACACGCCCAAGATGGCCTCCCAGACGCCCAAGATGGCCTCCAAGACGGCCCTGGAGCATTCCAAGCGGGCCCCAAGTCGGCCCATAGAGGCCCCCCAAACGGCTTCCGACGGCTTCAGACGTGCCAGGAACCCACCAAGATGGCCGAAGTTGGCTCGAAGCTGGCCCGAGACGGCCCAAAAAGCCCCAAAGATCGCCCAAAGCTTGCCCAAGAGGCCTCCAAGACGGCCAAGATGACCTTCAAGATGCCCACGTGTTCCCCGAAGGCTTTCCAAACCGATTCGGGGAACACGTGGTCCGATAGCTTGGCAGGTCTGGCCTCAACGTTCGGCCACATAGGCGCTTCCAAAAAGGCAGGGGGCGGCGGTGATTCGCCGTAGGCGTCTTCGATTCTTTTAGAAAAAGAACCAAAACCAAAACCTGAAACATCCAGCACGCCGTGCACCCCTGTGGCAAGACCACAGGGGGCGGCGGATCCAGTGGCCTTCGGCCTATCCCACCACCGTGCGTGGGTGGTGGGTCAGAGGCCTCATGGACGCTGGTTGGGATATCGTGGTTGGCCGGGACCTCTGGGGGCCTCTTGGAGGCCTCTTGGGGCTTCTTGGGGGCCTCTTGGGCCTCTTGGGGCCACTTGGGGGCCTCTTGGGGGTCTCTTGGGAGTCTCTTGGGGCTTCTTGGGGGCCTCTTCTGGGCCCCTTGGGGCCTCTTGGAGGCTTCTTCGGAGCCTCTTGGTGCGGGAGGGGTGGCACTCGAGTTCGGAACCCCCTCGGAGGCCACGATCCTTGTGAGGGGTGTCAAAAAACCCATCCGCCGGAAACTCGCACCCCCCCTCCCCACCCCCCCTTCCCCGGCAGAGCCACCCCGGCAACCCCCCCGGAGGCTGAGGCTCAGCCTCGAGGCTGTAGCTGAGACTCCTTGTAACTCACACGCCGGATCGGCGGATTTCTGCTCAGGCCAGCCTTGCGAGCTGGCGGGGCCTGCCAGAGCCCACGGAGCGGGCCTGCAAAACAAGCTGTCATACCTCACAGGCTTGGAGCCATCAACTGTTTTTCTTTCGCCCTCAGCAAGGCCGCAGGCTGGACATCCATATTCTTCAACAGATGTTGGACATTCCCGTTGACTGACCCTGGCCACCTGCTCGGGTTGGCCTTCAGCCGAGAGCGAACGCAGGCACGGAGCTGGACGAGGGGGAGAGGGGGGACAACCGCCTGCAGCTGATGTGCCCCAGGCAACTGCTGTGTTGCGCACCCCCCGCGGCGCAGGCGCAGCCGCGGTGGGCGACCCCCCCTGCGGCGCCGCGGCCGCGGCGGCGCCGGCGCTGGACCCCCCTCTCTGGCGCGCGGCGCGCGCCAGGGGCGGCCCCGGAGGCGCTGCCAGGGGCCCCCGGCGCCGACCCAGGAGATCCGCGCGGAACTCCGAAAGTGTATGTTTCAGGGTAGTCAAAGCCAATCTGGCGCCAATCTGGCAGGCCCAATCTGGCAAACGGGGGCAATCTGGCGAGGGAGCCAACGCGAATCCAGTCTGGCGAATAACCCAAATCATCCAGTTTGGCCGGGCCAGATTGGCCCTTGGGGCCCAATCCAATCTGACAGTCTGGCCTTCGACTACCCAGTGTTTGTGCCGTCGCAGAGCGCTCTCTGCGAAGCCCGCTCGCGTCCCTCCTCCTCGCGCAGCGGCAGCGAGACGTCGGGGGCCTCGAGCCCTCGACGCCGGGGAGCCGAAAGAAGGGGGGGAGGGGAGAAGTAGGAAGAGCGAGAGAGAGAGAGAGGGAAAAAGGAAAAGAGGGAAAAGGAGAGAGCAAAACAGCGCGACAGCAAGATGGCGAGAAAGCGTCGAGCCCTCGACGTTGGGGAGGGCGAAACGCCTGCTCAATAAACAACAGCGTTCGGACCTCTGCGTAGATCGCTTGGAACTGCGCTGCACAGTGGAGGCTCAGCTGCGGCCCCGCCACCGCGGCGGTAGGCGCACCACCCCTCTGGGCAGAGAGCGTCCTCGCCGAGCTCCCTGTCGATGCCGTCGCCGAATGCGATGTGCACCTCTATCGCCTCTCCAGGGGCGCACCGCGCCGCGCTCCAGGCTCCACGCTGCTCGGGAGGGGGAGAAGGAAAAGGGGGAGGAGGGGGAGGAGGAGGAGGAGGAGGAGGAGGAGGAGGAGGAGGAGGAGGAGGAGGAGGAGGCGGAGGCGGAGGCGGAGGCGGAGGCGGAGGAGGAGGAGGAGGCACGGCGTCGAGGGTTCATCCGCCGGCCATCGTGGGGCCACCACGCTGTAGGGCGAAGTTGCTGCTCCCCGCGCCAGTTTCAAGTCTCCAATGCTACAGTCCTGATTTCTGTTTCCTACTGTAAATTGTTGAAGTCCGCGCGAGGGGGGGAAGCCAAAAAGGATCCAATGTATCACGCCTGGATCGCATTGCCTGAATTTCAGGGGGGGCTGGGACATGTCAAAATACGTGAGAGTCGCGTCCCCGAGGGCAGAATCCCTCGTAACTTACGCAACGTTCGCATCCTCGAGGCTACAAACCATCGTAACTTCCATAAGTATTGCGTCCCTGAAGCAATACACCCTCGTAAATTATGAAGATTCGCGTCCCCGAGGCCTTACACCCAGGCAAATTCACGCCAGAGTCGCATTGCCGAAGCAAAAAATGCTCAAGGCGGTGATTCCAAGACGGCCTAAAGGGGCCCTAAGAAACCCCAAGGCCTGGTAGATTTTACATAGGTGTTCGAAGGCTTGTGCCCTTCTGGCATTTTCGGCTGTCTGACGCTCCAAGACGGCTCAAGAAGCTCCCAAGACCGCCCCAAGACAGCCCAAGAGGACTCCAAGGGGGCCCCAAGACGGTTCAAGGGGGCTCCAAGATGGCCCAAGAAGCGCTCAAGACGGCCTAAGCGGGTCCCAAGACAGTTCCGAGAGGGGTCCAAGCAGGGGACCACGAACCGAAAATTCCCCAGGAGGCCCCAAGGAGGCCCCGAGAGGCCGCCAAGAGGCCCCAAGAGGCCTCAAGAGGCGCCCAAGACGCGCCCAAGAGGCCCTCAAGAGGCCAACAAAAATACCCCACGAGGCCCCAAGAGGCCCCCAAGAGGCGCCAAAACAGCCTCCAAGAGGCCCCCGAGAGGCTCCCCACGATACCCCAACACAGATACAAGATGCCTCAGACCCTCAACCCAGGCACGGCGGCGGGATGGACCGAAGGCCACTAGGATCTGCCGCCCCCTGTTGATTCATCACAGAGGTGCCCGGTGTGCTGAATCCGCCGACCCCTTGTGGGTCTCTAGGCGTGTGAGATAGTTCCCCCCCCTAACCCCCCCCCTGGGACCTCAAACCGGAGATTTGACCCCCCCCCCGGGCCCACTACGAGCGCACCACGGGGCTCTTGTGGGCCCAAAAGGGGATCAAGACGGGCCAAGAAGGCCCCAAGACTCCTCCAAGACGCCTCACGCGAGTTCCGAGGCGCCAAACGAGCGCTCCCAGACGCCCAAGATGGCCCCAAGACGAGCCCAGAGGCCTCCAAGACAGCCCAAGAGGCCTCCAAGAGCAGTCCTCAGAAGGGCCGAAGCGCCGAAAATTGTCAAATTCCGATGGGAAAACGTACATTTTGATCATATACTCATTGTCGGCCTTCACGGCGTTGAAGACGGTCCCAGAGCATCCCAAAACCGGGCCAAGAGGCCCCCAAGAGGCGCCCAAGTCGGCCCAAAAAAGCGCCAAGACGGCCCAAGAGGCCGTCAAGACAGCCCAAAACGGCCCCAAGACGGCCCCAAGAGCTGCCCAAGAGGGGGAGCCCGCACCAACAATCCGAGTCTTCCGCCCCAAGACGGTCCCAGAAGGCCCCAACAGGCCCCAAGAGGCCCGCCGGACGCCCACAAGACGCCCCAAGAGGCCCCCAAGAGCCCCCAAACCGGCCTCTAGAGGCCCCAAGAGGCCCCCAAGAGCCCCCAAACCGGCTTCAAAACGGCCCCCAAGAGGCTTCGAAACTGCCTCCAAGAGTCCCGCGAAAAGCCCGCCAAGAGATTCCAGCGATCACTGCACAAGTCTCATATCAACGACCAAGGCATGGTGGCGGGGTTGCGTTTGCGCACACAAAAATTATCCCGGCAAAGCAACCTAACAGCGATGTGTAGAAGCATATCTGAAAGCATTCCCCTTAAGATTCAGATGAAAATCCAGTTGTCGAATTCTGCTGTTCTCGCAGTCGTAGTCGCATTCGCGATGACAGTCGCAGCGGCAACGGCAGTCGCAGTCACAGCCTCAGCCTCAGCCTGCCTCCTCCTCCTCCTCCTCCTCCTTTTTCTCCTGCTCCTCCTCCTCCTCCTCCTCCTCCTCTCCTCCTCCTCCTCCTCCTCTTCCCTCGTTCTCGTCCTCCTCGTCTTGTCCTACTCCTCCGGTGCTATCTCCTCCTCCTCCTCCTCCTCCTCCTCCTCCTCCGCCTGGTGGTCCTCGTTCTCCTCCTCCTGGTGCTCTCCCCCCCCCCCCCCTCATCCTCCTCGTCCTCCCTCCTCCTCCCCTCCTCCTCCTCGTCATACTCCTCCTACTCCTTCCCTCCTCTCCTCCTCCTCCTCCCCTCCTCCTCAAGGTAGTCCTCCCCCCTCCCTCCCTCCTCCTCCTCTCCTCTTCCTGGTCTCTGGGCGTCCTCTTCTCGTCCTCCTCCTCCTCCTCCTCCTCCTCCTCCTCCTCCTCCTCCTCCTCCTGGTGTTCTCTCCTCCTCCTCCTCCTCCTCCTCCTCCTCCTCCTCCTCCTGGTGGTCCTCGTTCTCCTCCTCCTGGTACTCTCCCCCCCCCTCCTCCTCCTCCTCCTCGTCCTCGTCCTCCTCCTCCTCCTCCTCCTCTTCCTCCTCCTCCTCCTCCTCCTCCTCCTCCTCCTGGTACTCCTCCCCCTCCCCTCCTCCTCCTCCTCCTCCTCCTCCTCCTTTTCCTGGTCGTCCTCCTCCTCCTGGTCGTCCTCCTCCTCCTGGTCGTCCTCCTCCTCTCCTCCTCTGGTGGGTCGCGGACACGCACCTCTGGTACTCTCCCCCCCCCCCCTCTCCTCCTCCTTCCTCGTCCTCGTCCTCCTTACCCTCCTCCCTCCTCCTGCCTATTCCTCATCCTCCTCCTCCTCCTCCTCCATCCTCCGCCTCACCCTTCCTCCTCCTCCTCCTGGTTACTCCTCCCCCCTCCCCTCCTCCTCCTCCTCCTCCTCCTCTTCCTGGTCGTCCTCCTCCTGGTCGTCCTCCTCCTCCTGCTCGTCCTCCTCCTCCTCCTGCTCGTCCTTCTTCTCCTGCTCCTCCTGCTCCTCGTCCTGCTCCTGCTCGTCCTCGTCCTCCTGGTCTTGCTCGTCCTCCTCCTCGTCGTGCTCTTGCCCCGGCTGAAAATGTGGCCCAGGAATGGGAGTTCTGGGAAGTCGAAGAGCACGAAGTTGCCTACAGTTGGCTACGGGCATTCAAAATGTGGCCCGGGAATGGAGTTCTGGGAACTCGAAGACACGAAGTGGCCTACAGTTGGCTCCGGGCATCCAAAATGTGGCCCGGGAATGGAGTTCTGGGAAATCGAAGAGCACGAAGTGGCCTACAGTTGGCTCCGGGCATTCAAAATGTGGCCCGGGAATGGAGTTCTGGGAATCGAAGAGCACGAAGTGGCCTACAGTTGGCTCCGGGCATCCAAAATGTGGCCCGGGAATGGAGTTCTGGGAACTCGAAGAGCACGAAGTGTGTGACTGTTGCATCCGGCCCTCCAGAATGTGGCCCGGGAATGGCGTTCTGGGATGTCGAAGAGCACGAAGTGTGTGACTGTTGCATCTGGTTATTCTAAATGTGGCCCGGGAATGGCGTTCTGGGATCTCGAAGAGCACTTTGTGTATGACTGTTGCATCCGGGTATTCAGAATGTGGCCTGGGAATGGAGTTCTGGGAAGTCGAAGAGCACGAAGTGTGTGACTGTTGGTGAAAAACGAGCCCGGCACCCTGCCGCCCGGCAACTCCCCAACACCTGCCCGGACCCCCCTGTGGAGTGATCTGTGAGCTCTTTTGAGTCAACTAGAAACCTATCAGTCTTCGCTGTTAGGTAAAAAATCGCGCTCTCGAGGGCAAGATTGCTTCAAGACGGCCCACGATGGCTCCAAAACGGCCCAAGATGCCTCCAAGATGGCCCAACACAGTTCGAAGACGGCCCAAGATGGCCTCAAGATGGCCTCAAAGGCTTTCACTATCGCACACGACGTCTCCAAGATGACCCCCAGGACATTTGAGACATGCGCACATTACGAATTTCATTACATGTCCATTGCGTTATTGAGCTTGTTTGCAATCGTTGCCTTTCCCGGCTTCCGTCGCCGCACGTGGCCCAAAGAGCTTCCAAGATCGCTCCACGGCGCCCCAAGAGGGCCTCAAGTCGGCCCCAGAGAATCCCAACATGGCCCACGATGGCTCCCAATTCGTCCTCAGATGACCCCACGACGGCAAAACCTGTCTCCAAAATGTTCCCAAGCTGGTGCAAGACGCCCCTAACCTAAAACCCATGACCCAGAGCCTTGTTTCTGTGTCCCCTTCCTCCTTCTCCTCCACCTCCTCCACCTTGGCCGCCGGGTGGGTTCAGAACTGTTCGTAGAGGTCCCCGAGAGGCGTGCCGCGAGATCCCTATACACATACAAGAAGCCTCTAACCCATACCCCATATCCCAGAGCTTCGTCTCTGCGCCCCCGTCCTCCTCCCCCCCCTCTTCCTCCACCTCCTCCTCGCCCACTCCTCCTCTTCCTCCCCCGCCTCATTCTCTTCCTCCCCGATTCTTCTCCCCCCATCCTCCGCCTCACCCCCCCCATCCCTCTCTCCCCCTCCACCCTGTCCCCCCCCGCACGCGCGCCCCCGATTGGGCATCATTTGCAGGTCTTACATGTCAGGATGCCCTTTTTTGCATCACGTGCGACGTGGGCAGGGTTTCCGGAGAACGCCGACTTCGGTAGTCTTCTCTTGCACGCGCCGCCGCACTGATACGCCTGGCAACTGCGGGCTGTGAACCCGAGGGTGTTGCAGCCTCCGCACACTACTTTCGCTCCTTTCGCCGCTCGATGATTTTCCACTTGC